CTGCCATCTCTTTCCTGCCCACTCCAGTGACTTACTCCTCTCAAGGACTGGCTTTGCCCCTCGGGGGTCCCCGGCCCCGCGCTCGCCCCGGCGGGATTGTTCTCCGGGCGGTTGTAGGAGGCTCACGCCGCGGGGCTGTTCTCATGCGGATCCCACGGCAACGGCCACCCCGCCAACATGAACGGGGTCCTGATCCCGCACACGCCCATCGCGGTGGACTTCTGGAGCCTGCGCCGGGCTGGCTCCGCGCGGCTCTTCTTCCTGTCGCACATGCACTCGGACCACACCGTGGGGCTGTCCAGCACGTGGGCGCGGCCCCTCTACTGCTCCCCAATCACGGCCTTCCTCCTGCACCGTCACCTACAGGTACGGCGAGCTGGAGTCGGCGTCCGGGACTCCCATCTAGCTCAGCCTCGGGGTCCTAGAGGGGCCAGAGGGACTGGTTGTTACTAACGGGGCAGTTGTGCGAACCCAGCAATGCATCTTTAGCCGGAGCGATAGTGTGGATGCCAACGGGCGGACTTGGGATGTTTCAGCTATAAGTTGGGGAGATCTTTTAGCCCAACCAAGGAAACTCCCGTTCCTGCCTCGTCACATAGCTAGGCTAGTGTCTCCCGAACTTGCCTCATCATAAGAACCCACCCAATGTGCTGGGTAGATAGATTCTCCACCACCTCCCCTTCCCCCATCTGGTTCAGTAGATATAGCTGGCGCAGGTCCTGGATATTTGGTGGGAAATTTTTTTTTAAACAGGTGCCCCCAAGGGATTATTATGATCTGGAAAGTTTGAGCATCGCTGACTAGACTGTTTTCTGGAATCTTCATTTTAAAATTGTACAGAGGGTGGGGTGGTGAGTGGGAGAAGGCAGGGGAGGGGGCATTTGGGAATCTGCATTACAGCTTCTGCTCAGCATTTGGTCAGCTTTCCCTCAGCCGGGAAAGGAATAGCTCCTGGCCCAGGGAGGTATCAGGGAGGGGAGTCTGTGTTCACTGGCATGACCTACTGTTTCCTCAGGTGTCTAAGCGGTGGATCCGAGCCCTGGAGGTTGGGGAGAGCCATGTCCTGCCTCTAGATGAAATTGGGAGAGAGACCATGACTGTCACCCTTATGGACGCCAATCACTGCCCTGGCTCGGTCATGTTTCTCTTTGAAGGATACTTTGGAACCATCCTCTACACAGGTGGGCCTCCCAGGAACCCTCCCACTTTCTCAGCCTCCACACGATTTTCTTGACCAGCCGTAACTCGTAAGAGAATGCTCATTTCAGCAGCACATATACTAAAATGGGGACAATACAAAGATCAGCATGGCCCCTGCAGAAGGATAACATGCAAATTCCTGAAGTTCCATCTTTTTCTTGAAACCTATGGAACCCTATTAACCAGTGACACCCAATAAATTTGTCATAAAAAGAAGTCTGAAGGCCTCCTAGCTTAATCCCATAGAAGCACTGACCCTTTCTGAAGACTTCTCACTCTTTCAGGGTCCAAACCGTGAACAGGAACGGGATAGAAACATTTCCACAAGGAAGCTGTACTAAGCGGAGTAGTTCGGTGCCAGACTCCAGGTTTCCCAAGAGCCAGAAAGCTAATGCCATTTGTTGTGGGAGGTGGGAGGCTTGTCTTCTATACTTTTGTCTCTGACGCCGCCCCCAGGTGATTTTCGGTTTACCCCGGCCATGCTGAAGGAGCCAGCCCTAAGCGTGGGGAAGCAGATCCACACCTTATACCTAGACAACACCAATTGCAACCCAGCGCTGGATCTCCCTTCCCAACACGAAGCGGCCCAGCAGATTGTGGCGCTCATTCGAAAGCACCCACAGCACGACGTAAAGATCGGTGAGTGGTTTCCGTTCCTTTTCTCTTGCCCGTAGGGAGTGCACCGAGGGTCTTTGTGGGTGTCTCACATCTCTCCAGTCTTTGTGCAGACCCCCCCCTTCTCCAGGAAACCTACACCTGTCCATCTTTTTCTTTTATTAAAGTTTTTTTTTTTTTTTTAATATATTTTATTGATTTTTTACAGAGAGGAAGGGAGAGAGATACAGAGTTAGAAACATCGATGAGAGAGAAACACCGATCAGCCGCCTCCTGCACATCTCCTACTGGGGACGTGCCCGCAACCCAGGCACATGCCCTTGACCGGAATCGAACCTGGGACCCTTCAGTCCGCAGGCCGACGCTCTATCCACTGAGCCAAACCGGTTTTGGCTTTTATTAAAGTTTTTAAAAATATATTTTTATTGATTTCAGAGAGGAAGGAAGAGAAAGAGAAACCTCAGTGATGAGAATCATTGATCAGCTGCCTCCTGCATGTCCCCTAGCGGGGATTGAGCCCCCAACCCGGGCATGTGCCCTGACTGGGAATCGGACCAAACCGTGACCTCCTGGTTCATAGGTCGATGCTCAACCACTGAGCCACACCAGCGGGGCTGTGCTGTCCATCTTAATTTAAAATGGCCATCTGCTCGCCATCCCTGCTTCCACATTCCCAACTCCTGATTGCATCTGAGTTATCTCCATCTATGAGTTTGTTTGTTGCTTTTATATCCCACGTAAGAGTGAAATCATATGCTTCTTGTCCTTTAACATCAGACTTATTTCGCTTAGCTTGTTACTCTCAAGAGCATCCATCCATGTTGTCGCAAATGGTAGTATTTCACGTTTTCTTCTGGCTGAGTAGTATTCCGTTGTATATATGTACCACATCTCTAATTACTCATTGAGGGTCTGATGTTACTAGTATTTCTTACCAGTTCCTTCTTTGTACTTTAGTAGCAGCAAACTGACCCCTCTTAACACGTTCTGCCATTTCCTTCCCTTGCCAGCTTAACCTGGACCCATCCTTGAAGACAGCACAGTTGTCATGTTTCAGGAAACCTTCCCTAACTTCATCAACTGGAAGATACTTTTCTGTGCCCTAATGTTACTGTGTGCGTGCCTCTAACAGGGCCTTAGCCACATGGTCTCTGGGTTCCTGTGTACATTACACTGCGAGAGGACTGAGACTTTCTGTTCCCGTAGTGCCTAACACTGGTAGATGCTTTTCTGTGTGGAACTGAATGAATGAGTGAATTCTGTGCTAACTTTTCCCTACCCCATTTTCCATATATCTCAGCTCAAATGCCATCCCATCCCTGATGCACTCCAACTGTCCCGTTATATTGTGTGTTTTTGTTGAACATTTGGTTGATTTATTAGGATTCCCCAATAGCTTCATTCTCTTTCTTCTCTTACTTTCCCCAATGCTGTTACCGTGATTCAGGACTCTATAGCCTGGGGAAAGAGTCCCTGCTGGAGCAGCTGGCCCTGGAGTTTCAGACCTGGGTGGTGTTGAGTCCTCGGCGCCTGGAGTTGGTGCAGCTGTTGGGCCTGGCAGATGTGTTCACAGTGGAGGAGAAGGCCGGCCGCATCCACGCCGTGAACCACATGGAGATCTGCCATTCTGCCATGCTGCGCTGGAACCAGGCCCGCCCTACCATTGCTATCCTTCCCACAAGCCGGAAAATCCACAGCTCCCACCCCAATATCCACATCATCCCTTACTCCGACCACTCCTCCTACTCGGAGCTGCGTGCCTTTGTGACGGCGCTGAAGCCTTGCCGGGTGCTGCCCATCGTCAGTCGCCAGCCCTGTAGGGACTACTTTCAGGACAGCCTGGGCCCCAGGCTCCCCGTGCCCTTGATTCCAGACTCTGTCCAGCAATACATGAGTGCCTCCTCCAGCAAACCAAGCGTCCTCTGCCTGTTAGAAAGGAAGCTCAGGAGGCCGAGAACCCAGGGTGTCGTGTTTGAATCTCCTGAGGAAAAGGCTGATCGATTTCAAGCTGACGGGGACTCCAAGAAGGCCAAGAACGAGGACCTTTCTGGGAACCTCGAGAAGCAGCCTTCCCTCCATCCTTTGCGGACTAAGAAGCAGTTGTTCCCAGACCGCTGCAGCAACCAGTGCGGGGAGGCAGCCCCTTTCTCCGAGTCCCAGAAGATGGTGACCGTGCTGACTGCCCCCTTGGGTCTTTCAGTTCATTTAAGGTCTCCAGAGGAGGAATTTCTCCCTCCGGAAACTGGGGAGGAAATTGGTGGAGGGCCCCACTTGGTCCCCAGGGGAGACAATGATGGCTCAGCAGTCTCCAGGAACCCGCGTGCGTGGGGGGGCCAGGATTCACCCCAGTCTCCCAGCAGCAAGGCTGTCCCGCTTCTGGCTCCTGAGTTCAGCGGCCTGGCCCTGAAATACCTCCTGACTCCACTGAACTTCTTCCAAGCAAGGTTCTCTTCCAGGGGCTTCGACCAGCAAATGGAAAAATACCATAAATCCTTGCTGAAGTGCAGACGGGAGCACAGCCTCGTTTGAGCCAGCGCCACAGTTTTAAAGACAACGGCTGATGGCTGGTGGGGAGTTTGTTTAGGGCCTTTTCTGTCTTCCCAGGATTCTTTTGGGCTCACCTTGGAGCAACACTCCTCAAAGTGTGATCACTGGAAGCCTAATGCTTATGGAATCCTCAGTATATAGTTGACTGTTTGAAAAATCATCTTCATTAAAACCCCTTTGCATTGTGAGCCCCTGTAAGGTTGTAAGGCGGCCTGCAGTAACAATCTGTTTACATTTTTTTATAAATGTTTTTTTTTTATTGATTTCAGAGAGGAAGAGGGAGAGAAACATCAATGATGAGAGAGAATCATTGATCGGCTGCCTCTTGCACGCCCCCTACTGGGGATTGAGCCCACAACCTGGGCATGTGATGTTGACCGGAATCGAACCCAGGACCCTTCGGTCCACAGGCCAGCACGCTATCCACTGAGCCAAACCAGCTAGGGCCTGTTTAAATTTGTTAACACAGTGTTTCTCCAACGTTTTTGAATGTGCAATCCTCTTAAGTGGCTGCAGAAATAGTTAAAGAGTCTGAAGCCAAAGGGCCCAGGGTATTCCCGTTATTCTGTGTGTCATGTGCCATTCTCCTGTCCCCTCCTCCCTTTTCCTAGACAGAAGTCCCTAGGTGGTTCTGTGTTTTCACTTAGGAACTGGAGCGCTGGAGGATAAAGTGGGGATCCAGGCAGCTCGTTCCAATCCTGGAGGTCACTGACTTGCTGTGACCCCATCCCAGCTACTTCCTGTCTCTGCCTTGGGGAGGGAACAGGAAGTGAAGAGCCTTGGAACATGCAGAAAAATTCCATCTTTGCCTCCACGAGAGTTTGTAGTTGTCACTGGAGACCTACCTGGAATGGTGCCAGCTGGAGCATTGGCACCCTCCCCAGGGCGGTACCTGGAACCAGGCGGAGGGTATGATGGGCCTCCCAGCTGCCTGGCGGCCCTGATTGTGACTGAAATAAAATTACAAAAGATCACATGTGCTGTCAGATATTCCTGATTATTCACATAGCTGGGATGTTTACTGCCCCCACCCCCCCTTTCAGGCTCCCGCCCTTGGGTTGAGTAGGGAGCCAGAGCACACAGCCTGTTTGTTTTAGTATCCAGGGCAGAGACCAAGGAGCCAGCTGGTGGAAGGGGTGGGGGTGTGCAGTTCTGCCCTGTTCTGCTCACAGCCTGACGGATGCCAAGCCAATAAGCAGGACAGAGCCACAGGGCGCCGGCATGTAGAGCCATTGCTTCAGAACGGACCCGCCAGCCCTCACAGTAATGCAGCCTCTGTTTCTTGTCCAGGAAAAACAGTTTCATACTTTGGGAGGAAGATATGAAGAGTTTGGATATCAAAACAGGGCCTCGCTCTTGGGCAAGCTGTCCACAGCTGTGTTTTGTCAGTGGCCTTCACTCTAAGCCTCCCGTGGGCCCACGGGGAGCCGCAGCTGGGGAGCCTGAGGGGCAGCAGGAAACGGGCATTGTCCTGGGCTTGAATCCATGCTTGAACAGCAGAGCCTCTGTGAACCAGGGGCTGGGCTACCTACCTCTCCTGGTTGTCGTGGAGGTTAGAGAACTGGGGAAATTCCTCTCTCAGTGCCTACTACTAGTACATGATGGGTATTTCAAATATTGGTTCTCTTAGCTCCTGGTTCTTTACAAAGTTTATAGCCCCAGCCTGTTAGGCTCAGTGCACAGAGCGACAGCCTGTGGACCCAAGGATCCGGGGTCGGATCAAGGGCACATACCTTGGTTGCAGGCTCCTCCCCGGCCCGAGCCCTGGTCAGGGCACATACAGGAGGCAACTAATCAATGTGTTTCTCTCACATTGATATTTCTCTGTTTTTCCCTCTATCTCCCACTCTCTCTAAAAATCAATGGAAAAATATCCTCAGGTGAGGAGTGAAAAGGAAAAAAGTTTACATATAAAATAAGAAACCTTGGAAATCATATGGAAATATAAAGAAAAACTTTAAGTATAATTGCTCCATGTAGAGCAATTGTTTTAACTTTTTTCTGTGCACGTAAATGTATTAAATATATAATTTTTTCAAAATTTGGGTGTATATAGTTTCATATCCTGTGGGTTACTTAATAGCTTAAGCATTTTTTGTATCATTAAATATTCAAAATGTCATTTTTAAAAAAATATATTTTATTGATTTTTTACCGAGAGGAAGGGAGAGGGATAGAGAGTTAGAAACATCGATGAGAGAGAAACATCGATCAGCTGCCTCTTGCACACCTCCTACTGGGGATGTGCCCACAACCAAGGTACATGCCCTTGACCGGAATCGAACCTGGGACCTTTCAGTCCGCAGGCTGACGCTCTATCCACTGAGCCAAAGCGGTCAGGGCCAAAATGTCATTTTTAATAGCATATTATTTTAGTTGAATGCTCTATCATATGGGTATATCTTAAGTCATTTCCATATTATTCATTTTGTGTGCCCTTTTTCACAATTATGCACATCACAATGAGCATCCTTGTGCATATATCATGGTACTTTTGTTTATTAGATTACTGGAAATGGGATTACAGTTTTAAATTCTTAATGCAAATTGTGCCCAATTGCCCTCTAGAAAGATTTTCTTACCCTCCTTTTTGCAGAAGAGGATAGCATTAAAATGCCTTGAAGGCTTTTAAGTTCAATGATGTTACTAGAACGGTACATGTAAACACTTAGAAAGTCATCTCACGTCTTAAGATTTACTAAGCTGTGTGGGCAAGGCTGAGCCTGGTTTCCTCCAGGAGCCTCAAGCTGGCTCACTTCTGTGCTGCCCACAGAAGGTGTTTGGGAGAGATAAGGTACCCAAGCTGGCTTTATCTCCTCGTAACAGAGGGAACCTGTCCACTCTTGGAGGATGCTGTGTCACCCATATTCCTTGAAGAGGGATCTATATGAATTCGAGTGGGGGAGCAGAAGCAAAGGGCTTGGAGTTTAGTTGTTGGTACAAGTTTGTGTTTTAGTAATGGGAAAATTCCTTACTATTCTAAAGTAAATTTGGTTTCTAGTAGAGATTGGCAGTTGCCTTATTTGTTTTTGTTTCTCAATACGCATATAAAAATGCTGCATGGCGTAGATCTAAGAAGGCAATTTATTTTTAGAATCTAAGGATGACCCCCATAGAACTACGAAGATCTTCCATTCGGCTTGAAGGTACTGGGAGAAAGGAAGTTCCCTGGAGGTCAATTAGTTTTGTCTCAGGATCTGTGAGAAAACTTGTACTTTTCCACAAGGAGACCGGCAGTGACCTACGTCCCTTTAGAGGAGAAAATCGGCCTCGCTGGCTTTCAAGGACCATCTCACTCCTGACTCAGACTCCCCTTTGTGGCAGGAAATAGGAGGTAAGTGGGCCTGCTTGTTCAAGAAAGGGGGTTTGGACCTGGGTTCTGTCTCAAGTCCACTCCCAGGGAGAGAGTTCACTCTACATTCTCGAAGTGGTCCTTCAGCAGGAGAAATGCTGGGGGTGCATATTTTGATGCTACCGCTAGTGAGTAGCTGTCAGTCTGTCACCTGCTTCGCACTCATAACCCTCCCGAACCAGCGCAAGCTATTTTGTCTTGGGTTCATGGCACTTCCCTGGGACATCCCACCGACACTGGTACAGAATGATTCTGCTTGCCCTTATAAAATAGCGAACGAGACAGAAACTGTCCTACCCACATGGAACTCACATTCTAAAGGAGAGAGACAGTAAGTAAATACCAGGTAGTAAAAGTGCTAACAAGAAAATACCAGGTAGAAGAAAGTGCTAAGAAGAAAACAACAACTGGCTAACAGAGTTGGGGAGAAGTCAGATACAGGTCGTGGAAGGTGTCTATGGGTTGACACACAGAAGCTGAGACCTGAGTGATGGAAAGGAGCCAGTCAGATGAAAGATCATGTGATGGGCGTTAACTTGGTGCCCCAGGCACATCAAAGAGAGCATATGGCCAAAGGGAAGAAGAGGAGATGAGCTCAGGGAGGGAGACAGACCTTGGATCAGAAGTGACTTAGAGGTTAAAGTAAGAAGTTTGGGTTTTTATCTCAGTGTAATTAATGGGAGGCTATTGGAGTGCTTCCCTGGAAGGGAGTGATACGATCTGATACATACTTTTATTTTAATGTTTTTCTTATTGTTACATATGTCCCCTGATGATACATACTTTTAAAAGCAACAGATGGAGCCCTTGCCGGTTTGGCTCAATGGGTAGAGCACCAGCCTGTGGACCAAAGGGTCCTGGGTTTGATTCCAGTCAAGGACACGTACCTTGGTTGTAGGCTCCTCTCTGGCCCCGACCCTGGTTAACATAAAAACAAACAAACAAATAAAATCAAAGATGGAGAATGGGGCAGGGATGAAAGCAGGAATACCAGTTAGGAAGCTCTTGCCAGCAGTGAGGTATTGGTGAGCGGGACTGGGGTTTTCGGAAGACGGGCTTTGGATGGTGTTCAGATCTATTAGACTCTATTAGCGTTACCTCTTTAGCACAAGCACGTATAGGGACTAAGATAAACCTTTCTCCCACCAAAGCTTTCCCAAAGGAGAAATGTATATGTAACCATATATACACCCACAGATAGCATGTAGATGCACATATTTGGAGGGAAGGAAGAAAGGAAGAAAACGCGTAAGTTTATTTACAACGTAAGTGAATATCTGGAATACTTTATGAATTAAGACTCTTTCCTATAATAGACATGTTTTGTAACTGTGTACTTAGGAAAAAAGATATGGTTTACTTGCTTTGGAGTCAACACAAGCCTTGGGGTTAGAGGTTACATTTCCTGAGAGAATAAGAGTCTTCAGTAAAAAACTGCACTCATCAGAGAATACTTGCCTTTTAAATTATTGAAATTATGATGTTTTAACCATAAATGTTTATGAGAAAAACATTGGTCCTGATCTGTGAGTATCTGCGTCTGTGAGAAGAGATCTATGAGATGTAATGGAGAACGGGGCCCAGTTGGATTCAGTGTGAATTGAGCCTTTTTAATTCACCAAGTTGTAATATTCTGTCTCCTTAGAGGGAGCACAGAATGAACAAGGTAATTTTTAGTTGATGAGAGTGCATCCTCCCGCTGCAAGGCTCCGAGTCAGGATAGATATAATATACACCTGCCGTCCCTTTTAATCAAGGCAGTGAAAGTCTATACCTGTTATTATTCCATCTTTCACTGCTCATAGACTTTCTGGTTTCACAGACAGGATCAGCAGATAGGAATAGCAATGGATTCAGAGTTATCTTGGA